TAAGATTCATCATTCGGTACATAAGGTCATGCCGTCAACTGCCTGTACTTTGGCACTAAACCTACAGTTTTTTCTTACACTGTGCCCAGGAAATGACGCGATACACAGGCTATATGACGTTGATATCTTGTTTGCTGGCTGTTATAGTTTTTTTTTGTTGTCCCATATACCTTCTATGGTACCTTCGACTCTTAAGCGTCAGTGTAATCTACATCTTGTTTGTTCTTTGAAAAATGTAAAATTCCCCTGTTTTCCAAAGAACAAATTATCTTTTTGGGCACGTTGAGTAACTTGATCACCAGTGTTGTATGTCTAGTTATATACGGATGCAAAATCGCACTTAGTGGATTATGATTTTATTCTATCAGTACGGAACGAAAGAGTTGTCAATTTGAAACAAGCTTGGATTGAATTCCATGTTAACCTTAGAAGATTCAAATTCGATAAACTTAAACGTGATTTTTTACCATTTGCTCGGGAATTGTAGAATAGTGCTTGCATCATTTTGGATGTCATATAATGTCATATAATGTTCCTCTAGCGACTCGCAGTGCCCATCTTAGTGAAAAACAAAACAGGAAATGGTTATTGCATCAGATTTTATAGCAGGCATTTTACTACATATGACGCCGGTGATAATTGTTTTCTGTTGTTTACTTTTGTAATTTCTGAAAGTTTCAATCAAGCTAGGTGTTGTTCAGTTTTCGAACTCTTCAAGATAAGAAGATATAGAGTACATTTTCATGTTTGTACAACAACGAGAAGAGGATTTGAGGTTTCAAATTTGTGGTTACTTCTCACTAGTGTATTTTTCGCGTTGAGGTGTCTGCTATCTCTTGAAAAAGCTGAACAGTTTTTTGAAGAAGGAAGTATCTGTGAAAGAGCCCTTTTTATCACTACATAATCTTTTCGCTCTGCTCTTGATTAGACATATTTCACTTCTCAGAAAGGTGGTTATTGTTCCTCTCAACTCGCTAAATTCATAACAGCGTACGGTGTAAGATTCATATGAAGTTTCAAGGATGCAAATAACGTCCGGCATCATCGCCGAGAAGACGGCGATGTCGTCGTGCGTCGACCTTGGCGATAGCATCGTTCCAGCCGACGTCTGCTATTCATATGATACTGCGACGCCGTCGTCGAACAGCACTCCTCCCTCAACGATGGAGGTCTCCACGGTAGATGTGCATTCCATAGCTTACGAAGAGACTGTACCCTTTCATCTCGATGGTTGTCATTCAAACGCTGCTACATTTCCAGAAGCAGCAGCGACCTAACGCCGCTTCCACTACCGACTGCGTTCGTCGAGCAGCTGCCGACCACATTTTGGAATACTCCATTTGCCATCCATCTTCATATTCTGCATCTGACGCATTGCAGGTCGCAAGAGAACAGCTTCGAAAGGTAAGCTCGCA